ATATCATACTAGCAATATAGCTTAATTAGAAAGACGAGAACCGAACCGAACTATGTAATAAAATTGGTCAATTCAGGTGGATCTTTTACATTGCAATTTTGTTTAAAGTGCGGCTACGACGAAAAAAAATGTTCTTTTCAAAGAGTTTTTTTGTGCATAATCCAGTACTTTGAAGTCTAACTAAGCATACTGGCTAATCTTTTTATCGAAAAAGTCAAAAGAATATGAGAAATCGAGCTTCGAAAGCAGTAAAAATCCCGTCCGCCATTAAACGGTTTGATATCTGAGCCCCAAATACTAAAGACTGCGGTATCTTTCGAGACGAAAGTCAGTGACGTCACTGACTCAACACGTGACTTCTTGATTCGATGTTTTTATAAGAAAGTTACTATGAAATGGAGAGTGAAAATGAAGAAAACCACTATGAAAATGACTCTGATTCTTCAAATGAGAGTTTCTTCTCAGCATCTGAAAACCTGTGACCTCATGATGACAGTGTTGAACCGCTTGAAGAGGTGACAGAGAACGAAAGGACAGTAGCTAAAGACAATGTAAAGAAGAAGAGGACGAGAACCTGATGCTGAGTCGCAGGAAATTTCCCAAGCACGGTCGGCTAGATTTGTCAGGTGTTTTTTTTTTTTTTAACCATTGCACTCAGAGTAGATTAGTAAGCATTGTTTTTTGCTCGAATTTATTTTTTGGATTGGGCTTGTAGCAGAAATGGCAAAAATTAAAGAGCAACAACAGCTAATAGACAGGAAGACTATTTTGGCTCTTCTCTTTGTTGGTATTACATTCCACCCTATGTAAAAAATGTTGGATGAATTTAATTAAAAGACCTTAGTGAAAATTGCTGCATTTGTGTTGAAATATTAAGTTTGTACCTAGTTTTTGGGCATTCCTAATTGTCGTCATTATTGTCATTTCTTTCAAAATGGTCTCCATGTAGTAGTTTATTTCAATTTTTCATGTTGTCTTTGAAATCATAGTGATAAAATCAAAGGCACAGTTACCTTTCAAGAGGATGTAAAGCAACAATGGGCTTGATAGTATTTGATACACTGATTATAATCTTACAAAAAGGATATGGCTGGTCCATTGTAGTGTACAGAGGTCAGTTGGGAACCTATAAAAT